GGTTGACTCAGCCTTCCATCCTTCCGAGGTAGGTAAAATGAGGACCCGGATTGTTGTTGGGGGCGATATGCTGACTCTGTAAACTGCTTAGAGAGGGCTGAAAGCCCTTTGAAGCGGTATATAAGTCTAACTGCTATTGCTATGGCTACTTAGTGACTATTCAATGCTACAATGGCATTGAAAAAAGTGATTTATGACTGTTTTTCACCCTTATGACCATTGCAGCATCTCCATGGTCACGTGATCAAAATTAAAACGCTTGGCAACTGGTTCATATTTATGATGGTGGCGAATGTCCCAGGGTCCTGTGATCACCTTTGCAACCTTCAAGAAGGAAACCAGATTCACTTAACAATCGTGTTACTAACAACTGCAGTGATTCACTTAACAACTGTGGCAAAAATGGTCGCAAAATGGGGCAAAATTCACTTAACATCTGTCTTGCTTAGCATTTTGGGCTCAATTGTGGCTGTAAGCAGGTGTGGGATTCTACTGGTTCGGGTGAACCGGTACCTCCAACAATCAGCTGGGAGCCAATCGGTTCGCTCCGACGATCAGCTGGGCCCACCCACTTGCCCCTGCTCTATCCTGTTCTTTATTTCCTGCTTTCTAGCTCATCTCAATCGCGCGGCCCAGCTGATTTCCACCCCCAGGGCCCCCAAGCTGTTTAACTTACCGTTGCTAACTTGGAAGGTAAGCAGCTGAGCTACTAAATGCTCCATTTTCAGCACCTCGCGCAGGTGCAAAGCACACCTGCGCGCAAAGCATGCGCTCACCGAACCGGTTGTTAAACTGGCAGCATCCCACCACTGGTTGTAAGTCAAGGACTCCCTGTACTTATTTATTTCAGGACTTTAAAAAATGCTGATTCCGTGTAGACTTCTGGTGAGTTTATAAAATAGTCTAGCTCTAGTCAAACTTCATTAATACCATAAAAAAGCTCAAGCCTCCTTCAATGTACAATCTCAGTAGCATTAAATATGAAAAGCTTGGCAAAACCGTTCTCTCTTTGCTGCCTTCCCAAAGTCTATTAAGGAAGGCAAAGTCTATTAGGGAAGGCAGATCTCCAGAGGAAAATGATTCCATAGGAGTGAAGTGAAGACTGACAAGGATTTTATCCTGGTACGCCTTCCCAAAATCTCACACAGGAAGCCCATCAACAACTCAGTTCACCATCAGTTTCCCGAGAGAACAGCCCCTCTTATAGCTTTGAATTCCCAGGGGTTTTAAATAATCCAGTCTTATACAAGACTCTATAAATCATAATCAGCAATCTGAAATGTGTCTAGAGAGAGATTGATTGTCAAGGCAGCTTCAGGATAATAAGGAATAATGAAAACATTTCTTTTGAGGCTCGGTGGTCTGGTTTGGTTGGTTGAATTAGACAAGTAGATGCATATCAAGGTTGCAATATGCCTCTGAATTTTTTTTGCCTGAACCACAAGATGTGTGCAAATAAATTTGATAAATAAAGAAAGAAAGAAATATCTAGCAGACATCTAAAACTTTGTATCTTAGATTGGGAGCCCAAGAGCTGGCTTATCAGTTGGAGTCCCCTTATCACCAATGACCAATAACTGTTTTTGCCAGCAGATGAACTAAAAGACTAGCATTAAAAATGAATTCCTTATACTCCTTGAGATGCTCAAACTTATGAGGGCTAGAACCTCCCAGTTGGAAGAGGAAGCCATCTATTGAAATGAAACAAATTTATATGAGACATAATCAGGGATGGGTTTCTGTTGTGGCCCAGCAGGAGCCGTTGGAGCTACAAACAGATTCCGGTAGCGAGGGACCCTATGAGTCGGCTCTGGAAGATGTGGAGGACCCTGGACAGGGTTCAGACTCTGAGCAGGAACCAGAGAGGCTGGTTGGCTACCAGGAGGAGCCTGAGGCATGGAGCAGCAGTGAAAGCCAAAGGGAGTTTGTCCCTAACGTCAGACCCTGGAACAGTGGGGAGGAGCTAAGGGAGGTGGTCCCGGATGCCAGGCAAAGACGGGCAGATAAGCGCCAACAGCAACTATGGAGATATAGAAGATAATTGGGGCCAGGTGATTGTGATTAGGCTCCTCCCAAGAGAGTATATAAGAAGAGACTTTGGGAGGAGGCTTTTTGCAGGACACAACCGTTATACTAAAGCTGGAGAAGCTCTTGTATTTCTTATCTGTGGAAGTCTGGGTTGCTGCCAAAGTCTTGTCGGTGTGTTAATTTACTGTGAATAAATTGTCTAGCAGTAATCTTGTGTCGGCATGACTCACCATACGGAGGGGAGTCAGAACAGTTACCTATTGGAGAAATCTGCTTTACTGGTTAGCGTACCTAGCGACATAGCAGTATTCTAATATCTAAAAGGCTGTCTAATATCTAAGGGATGCAGTAGCTCAGTGGCTAAGACGCTGAGCTTGTTGATCAGAAAGATCGGCAGTTCGGCGGTT